GAGCCCATGACTCATGGTGTGTTCATCTCTACAGAGCTCCCGGCCCACCACCATGTATAGTGCTGTCTGGTGGTCCCGAGCAGGCAGAAAGCCCCCCATGGCCAGGTTTGGGTCTCTCCCGCTAGTGCCCTGCCTGGTGCTTTTAGACACTAATGTATTTGTTGAATGAGATGAACCTCTTCCTCCATCAGAGCAAGTGGGATTCCTAAGGACAGGAATGGGAATAATGAGAATAATACCCAGCTTGTAGGGGGTTTTTAGAACTGCATGAAATAACACAGGTACTGAGGCATCCAAACAAATGTTCACCCCTCGGCTTCCCCTTTTGAATGGGATGAACCTCTTCCTCCATCAGGGTGAGTGGGATTCCTAAGGACAGGCATTCTGTTCCCACTTGCACCTCTGGTCCTAGAACATGGTAGGGCTCACAGTCACATGGAAGAATGAACATGCGGGTGCTCTCAAAGGTCCCACTGCCCCTAGTTACCTTCTGCCTTGTATTACACTCTAGCTGTCTCTCTAGAATCTAAGCAATCTGAGGGTTGGGTTGGTGTCTCATGTTTATTTTGTATCCTCTGCAATCTCGTCAATTTTGCTAGGCATGAGGCACTCTGTAGGGCTAGTGTGTACGTGGAAATAAAGTCAGTTACAACAGTATAACCTTGAAACTAGTTAACAGAGAAAGGTCAATTTTTTTGCCTCTAAGAAACACTAATATCACCCATTAATGTTTACCAGCTGTTCTACACACTGATAGTAACATAAATAGTCCCTGATCTCCATGAATGAGTAGAAGTTACCAATAAATTCATTAGAAATGTGCCTCTTACACTCACAGGAAATTAACTGCCATTCACAGTAATACCTAGAAAGTGACTAGTAATTCTCTGTTCCCTAGAAGAATAAGGAATCTATATGCTTTACATATAACGCCCACTTACAATGCAAAAATACACCTATCCCGAGAAGCCTGGCCACAGCTGCTTTCTTTGAATCTTTTTTGGGGGGAAGATTGATGTTTGGAGGGCTTGTGATTCATTAAAGTTGCTGACCAGTTCAAATACTTAACTGCCAACCTGTTCTTTCGGAGAATGTTCCTTTCACTCACTTCAGCACTGCTCTGCCAACCCATGTGTGCACCAAGTGGGAGAAAAACATGCATCACGAGAGCTGTGTACACGTGTCCCCAGATCTATGGATGTGTGTCCTGAGGGCTGCGTACTGTGCACGCTATTTAAGCAGAACTTTGATTTACATGCACAGGGTTTTTTTTTTTTTTTTTTTTTTTTTTTTTGTGGTAGGCGGGCCTCTCACTGTTGTGGCCCCTCCCGTTGCGGAGCACAGGCTTCGGACGCACAGGCTCAGCGGCCATGGCTCACGGGCCTAGCCGCTCCGCGGCATGTGGGATCTTCCCGGACCAGGGCACGAACCCGTGTCCCCTGCATCGGCAGGCGGACTCTCAACCACTGCGCCACCAGGGAAGCCCAGCACAGGGTTTTTGCTTGTGTGACCCTTAGGAACACATGCTCTCTTTCCACAAGGTGACCAGAATGAGGCTCTGAGTACAGAGCCAGTCCTTCTGTAGCTCTTTGTTCCCTGGAAGAAAATTCTACAAATGTTGACTCTTTTATTTACTCTAATGAGAAAGCTGTAGGCAGTCTCAAGTCTGAGTAAGCGTGAATGTTAGAAAGGTCCCTCTAGACTTACAATGCATTTTTCAATGTTCTGTCTGGGATGGGAATATAAATAGAGCATTCAAGATGCTTCTGTTAGGCTACTTCTAAGGGCAAACATTTTTGATTGTTTAAAATAAAGGTTTTAGAATTAAAGTGATTCCAGTGATTCCCAAAAGAATGTTCTCCTTCTAGCCAAAGTGGAGTAAGGTGGATTGGATTTACCCTTCCACCAGAAATAACCAAAAACACTCAGAAAAAAAATACATGAAGAAAAGGTTTTTGAGACACTACGTATCAGTCAATGAAGGACAATGATCTCTAGAAGAAAATGGAAGAGAAAAGCTTTGTGACATTGGCTTTGACAAGGATTTCTTAGCTACAGCCAAAAACATAATTCATAGAAGAAAAAATAATCAACTGGACTTTATTAGAATTCAAAATCCCTGCTCTGCGCAAGACACTGCTAAGAGAACGAAAAGATAAACCACGGCCTGGGAGAAAATACTTGCAAGTCATATATCTTATAAAGGAATTGTATCTAGAATATATAAAGGAGTCTCAAAACTCAACAATCTAATTACAAATGAACAATATCCAGTTTTTAAAACTGAGCAAAAGAGGTGAACAGATACTGCAGCAAAGATGGTGAATAAGCACAAGAAAAGAGCATCAATCATGAGAGAAATGCAAACTGAAACCACAGGGAGACATCGCCACACAGCTATTAGAATGGCTAAAACTAAAAAAGACTAATGATACTGAGTGTTAGCAAGGATGTGGGACAATCTGAACTCACACACACTTCTCGAGGGAATGCACAATTGTCCAGTGGCTTTGGAAGACCGTTCGGTGATCTCGTAAACAACGAAAACATACCTACCATATGACCCAGTCTTCCGCTGCTAGCTACTGACTCAAGAAAAAGAAAGCAATGTCCACACAGAGACGTATACACGATGTTCAGTGCAACTTTATCTGTTAGTAGCACCCAATCTGGAAACAACCCAAATGCCCATCAATAGGTGATAGGACCTCTGAACTGTGAAATATCTTTATGATGGGACGCTAGTCAGCAATAAGTAGAAAGGAAGTACTGATATATGGCAACAGCATGGATGAATCCCCAAATAATTACACCAAGTGAAGGATGCCAGCTACCAAAGACTAGCTACCGCATAATTCCATGTGTATGAGACACTAGCATATATAAACTAATCTACATTGCCAGAAAGCAATATGGAAAGCACCTGGGGAGTAGTAGGTAGCAGGAAAAGTTATGGATAAACAACAAGGTCCTACTGTATAGCACAGGGAACTATATTCAATATCCTGTGATAAGCCATAATGGAAAAGAATATGAAAAAGAATATATATATTTGTATAACTGAATCACTTTGCTGTACAGCAGAAATTAATACAACATTGTAAATCACTTATACTTCAATTTAAAAAAAAGGCACAAGGAAACTTCTGGAGTGATGGATATGTTTGCTGTCTTGAGTGCGATGATAGTTTCATGGCTGTAGACACGTGTCAAAATGCGCTAAGTATGTCTGGTTTATTTTGTATCAATTATACCATAATAGAAAAAATACTAAAAAGACATTGATTTGCCTTGGGGGATTTTGCAGCAAGTCATCATTTATGATTTGGCAACTCTTCACTGAGTTCCTATCTTGTGCCAAGCACTGTGCTGCACTAAAAACAAGCCAGCAGAGGACGGTTTGACACCTTGACCACTGGTGCAGCCTCCAGGGGTTTCCACTGTCCTACTGTGCTTAAGGCACGGAGACCCCGAAAGGCTGTGGATACACAAGTTTTAACTTCTACTGTCAGTCTCATTACATGTAAATTGCTTCAAAATATATCATCTCTTTTCATATGCTGTGATAACAATTACACACTCATTTTGAAACTGCGCTTGTGCCTGCCCAATCATTTGCACAAATGACAGAATTCATCAAGAAAGAATCACACCTGCTGTTCCTCTGCCCCCACCCCAGCTCCACTAAGAAGGACTTTCAAGAAAACCAACAGGAGCGAGTAACTGTGCTGCTTGTTCTCGGGTAGATGATCCTGCGCCACGGTCTAGTTTCCTTTACTTCCTCTTGTGAGGGTTGTGGATAGCATCGTTTACTGTGTTCCCCAAAGTCCTGTAGACCATCATTTCTTATCCCTGAGATTTTCTATTAAGCCATGCTTTTAGGCCACTAATAATTAGCAAAACTATCTATCGCTCTATTCACCTTGTGGAAATCTGACACTTATTGTATGAAACATTCAGAGAAAGCAAAGGCCAATGTGATATGCACAGGGTCTTCGGTGTAAAAACCCTGGAAAGTGACATTCTTTTATCAACCAACCCACAAGGCCATACCATTCCACCGGCATAAACAAATCTCTAAAGGACGAACCATTATTTCAGTAGTAATACCATTATAATATTGGTCATCAAGCCTGTCAACATTGTCCTTAACAATACAGAAGTACTTGAAAAGGGGTTTCTTACCCAAATTACATGGGCTGAACTTGGGCAATAAATTTTCCAAAAGAAAGTAGGAAAACCTTCCAAATATAAAAAAGCTAAATTAGCATGACCGTGTATAACTTTTTTTTGAGCCAGAACTAGAGAAACCACTTGCAAAATGAAACAAGAAGCATATTTTAAGTGACATAACAAACCAAGTTATCCAAGTCAGTATTTTGTAGAAACTGCTAACCACCACTACATCTGTAATTGAATAAATTAGAAACCAGCTCAGAATTTACTTTCCATATTTACACAAGCCAAGAAAGGTGACTCCTACGAAGAATACTGAATATGAGATTCAAAATTTGGCAACAAATGAGATGATCCCAGCTGGCCCTGGACCACTAATAATGTTTTTGAAAGATTGGGTTATTAGATTAACAGTTGTAGATGATGGACTCTATTTATGCAATGTTAAAGCAAACATTTTTATTAACCAAACAGTTCCTAAATTGCAAGCAGAAATGGGAAACTTGATCTGACACCTGCAGCAAATCTGAGGGCCTTCCCTGGCCCAGAGCTCAGGATTTGCCACCATGGTGCACATTTCTCTTACACTCTGCTCAGGAGGGAAAAGAGCCACACTTTTTCCTTTACATGAAGTTTGTTTCAAAGGTATTCTGAAGAAACGCTTCTTTTCCCTCATCAGTTTTCAACTCTTGCTGCCTCCCGTGGATAATTTACCCCTATTCTTCCCAAAGCCTCGAGAACTTTCTCAGCTCTCCAGTTGCTTTGGGTCCACAGTGTGTGGCTGTGGATCCTTCATTTAACAGGCACCAAGAGGCTCTACTTACATCATGCATGGAGTCCAGAAGCTTGGTCAGTTGGTAGAACCTCTGCCAGCTCTGCCCGGAATTGTTGGGACACTTTGTTACCATCTTCCTCAGTTCTTTGATGTAATTTGTCCTCATTTCTTCAAACGCAGCCTGGCTTTTGAGGCCATCCTTTGGAACTGTGTTGAAGGAATACCGACATGTAAGTTCCCAAGGTGGAAAACAGCTTTAGCATCCTCATAGTTAAATGGCTTAGACTATTTTGAGGTCATGAGGCTCACACTTTGAGACTGATACTGAATCTCAATGATTACATTTATGAATAAACATGGCAGCTATATGACGGTTAACCTTTGTACACACACATATACAAAAGAATAATAACTGGTTTATTGGGTGTATGTTATAATGCACTTTGTTTATATTAGCTTGCTTAATCTTGACATCAGTTTTACGACATAATCATTATGTTATTCTCAGTTTACAGATGTGGAAACTGAAGACTGGAGGTTTAATCACTTGCACAAGGACACAATAAATACATGGTAGAGGAAGGGTATAAACCTAAGTCTGTCTGTTTCCAAAGCCTGTCTCTAAACCACAGTGCTATACTGTCTTGTGGTCTGTCATCAAAGTTTTTATGAATCCCAACTTGCCAATACCTCAGACGTAGGAAAATATACTTTGATTTTCCAGGACAACTGGAAGAGCCACAGACAATCTAAGCTGGGGCTGGAATTAGAAAGCAACATCTTCATATTCCAGTTCCAATGTCAAAGACACTCGGGGAAACCTGCCATCTACCAGGGGGAAGACAGTGTGTGGCAAAGCAGCACTTCCCATCCTCTTTGTTCCAAGATCACATGACCACCGAGGCACTGTCATGTGACTGCCCAGACAACCTGCTGGCAGGCTTCTGTGTGTGACGGGTAACACAACAGTGCTCTGCATACAAGGCAAGATCAAAAACTTTCGAAGAGAAGAAACCACATTCATCATTATCTTCGATAAGACAGAAAATTAAGGGTTATGTCTTCTTTCTTTGTATGGAGTGGCTGGCTTTCCTAATGAAACAAAAAACATCTCACTAAAAATAATACTTTGAAATTCAGCACCTGGAAGGATACGAGTGTTTCCGTGACCTGAAAGGAGACGCTCTTTCCCAGGACACACGTGAACACACTTTATGGAGAAGGGGTGCACCAGGGTCTGTGTTCTGCGAGGAGATGTAGCGCAGAGTGTAAGCTACAGGTGTCCCCTTTGAAAATCTACTTACATGTTTGCTTTTGTTCACTACAGCCAATATGTACTTATGCTTATGCTTTAACCCTGAAAAATCAAATCACTTAGAACTTTCCATTTTGGATGATGAAGATAATAAAAATTCAACTTGTGATAACAGAGTCTGAAATTGCTTTCACTTCTTAAGTGCATATCCTATTTGCTAATTTACAATAACTGGTATAAATAATAACTTACTTGGGCCATCAGCTCTTTAGAATGGCTAAATATGTTTTTGAGTGTTACGTGTAACCCTGGGAGCAGGAATACCACTGTTTCCAAATAAACCCTGTTGTCCTGTATAAAGATACAGATTATCTTGCAAATTAACTTCCCGTATGATGTTAATAATCTTCTCCTTGAGTTTAATTGTTGAGGCTTTTGATTTGTCATTTATCTAAGTCTATTTTTTGTGGGGAAAAAATAAATCCCTAATGGCCACTGCAAATTCCTGAGGCTGCCACAATATTAGTTGTGGTTTAAAATATTTGACATTCACGTTCAAGAATTAAATATCATCCATTATGTAACAGTTTATTTTTCTTTGCAATTAAGCCCTTGTTGTAAAAGTATAAAAAATGTAAAGAAGGATGGTAATAACCAGGACGTTAATAGTGAACCTACAGATCCACTTTCTACCAAAACTTTAATGTTAACCCAAAACGTTCCAACACAAACTGAAAGTTTGCAAGTAAGTGCCTACACTGCCCACCCACAGATAAACATTTATTTTTTACATTTATTTTTTTAAGTTTCAAAATGTTACGGAGTAAACCTTTAGTTTTTCAGTATAGATACTTATGGATGTCATACCTTAAAAAATTACCTAAAATTAGAATGGAGTGAATACGTTTCACGACTATATTTCAATGCCATTTGGTATAGCTACTAAGATTAACCAAAAGCCTTCATATTTCTGATAAAAATTCTCAAGATTATGAACAACTTGTATCAAATATTACTTGTATTTTACTGCTGTGACTGAAATATATTGTACCATTTTCCCAGCCAGATATTTTAGAAGTTGAAACAAACCCACAAAAAAAGAGAACTTAGGCAAAACCTCAAATTCTGGAGGTCTGCCCAGATTTTCTGAATTTACTGATTAAATGCAGCGGGGCTCCTGGAAATCATCCAAAATCTATGGGCTGGAGAAGGAGCAAAGAGGCAACTGGGTGGGAAGATGGTCTGCTTTCCTCTGTGAGCAAAAAGAACATGATCTTCTCTTGATGTCATTGCTTAGAAACTTTCCTGATACACTGGACATCAGGTGTGTAATTTAAGCTTCTAAATAAGAAGAAAAGTTTTCATACATTCTATCACAGATTAGCAAAATAGGCTTGCAGCAAAATAAGCTGCAGTTTAAGCTGCAGTAAAATTCTTTACTTCTGTTCTCCTGCTTTTTGATTTTGCTTTTTCTGCATCCACAAAAATCAGCCTTGAATGTACTGAGCTACTTGGTAGCTAATAAATTAATTCAGGGACCTTCAAAGTGATATCAGAATTGATTATAGGCTGACTGATTAAACGGATGTAAAAGGATAAGACACCAATTACAATGAGTGGTCAAAGTTTATAAAGGATTAGTATCACATGCATTTTAGAAAAAAATTAAATTCTATCACCCATCTGATATACTTTTTTTTTTTTTTTTTTTACATTTTTCTAAGAGTAATGATTAGCGACATGGCTTGGAAAGGGGAATAAAATCACTGTCTCTGAATTTCAAGAGTACATTTACAGGGAATTCCCTGGCGGTCCAGTGGTTAGGACTCCGTACTTGCATTGCTAAGGGCGTGGGTTCAATCCCTGGTTGGGGAACTAAGAGTACATTTCCAAGGTTATATTCCAGAAAGGATAAACTGGGAACCTCAGAAACCTTGAGGAACACTGGAGCAGGGAGCAAAGCCTGGTCCTACTGACCCTGCGGACGAGGGGCTGCAAACACAAGCTCCTGGATGTGGGCTGATTGTACAGGGAGGAATGGAGGGACCGGTGGGGCCTGCAGTAAACTGGGGAGAGCATGGGCTGCCCTGCACAACTGGTCAGTGAAAATCAAACCAGACAAAAGGCCAAAAGCAACCTGAAAAGCCTTGCCGGCCAAGTGAAACACAGCTGCGAAGTGCTGACCCCACCTCCCTCCCACAGCCTGCTCTCCCTCCAATCTTCCTGCTGCCCTCACCTGCCATGGCCTGCTTTCCACTTCCTGCTTGGGGCAGAGCGGGAATCGCTGCGAGTGAAGGCCAAGGCCCTGGGTTTGAGTCCTAACTCCCCAAGGAGGCTTGCACAAGTCACACCTGCATGCCTCTGTCTTGTCCACTTTAGAATGGAGGTCTACCCATCTTGCAGTGTTAAATTAGATCATAGATAAAAACTCTTTGGAAACTGAGAGGTGCTAAACGTAGGTGGAACAGGTACTGATCCGCATCCACCACTGCCTCCCCGCTTCCTGTTCTACCCGTCTCAGGCTTCAGTCTTCCCCAGACCCAATCCTCCCTTGTTGGAAACAGCATCTCTTCGTATCCATTCCATCCTCAGTGCTTGGCTGTTGATGCCACTTCCTTCCACGTGACTCTACTGAAAACCGCCCCTTCTCCCAAGCTGCTGATTCCTGGACCAAGGGGAGGGCTGGGTGCATCCTGGATGCTCTTTTCAGCTTCCAGGTGGTCGCTCAACAAACCCTCCTCCTTTGAAGTCCTCGCCACTCACCCCGGTGTCCTCGGCACTCATGACATTTCTCCGTTTTCTCAGTGGCCCACAGCGCTTGGCTCTGGGATTTCCTCTCCAACCCATCTCTTGCCATCATTCCCGGTCTCACCCTCATCTGATGGGAGCTTCCTCAAATTCCTTCCCCTCTGTTTGAAAAGGCCTGTGCCGTTGTCTATGGAATAAGCGCTCAGCATCCTTGCCAAGGCTAATCCTGCCCTCCCTCGTCTCTTCTGGCACCGTCTGCCATCGACTTCTCTCCTCTCATGCTTGGTTCCGGGCGCCTAAAAAAGCTTCCCATCAATCTGCAAGTCCCTGGCTGTCTGGCACCTGCCTGATGCCCAATGGTCAACCCCACTAGGCTTCTGTCAGCCTTCTCAGCTTTCTCTGGAAGCGATGCCATTAGTCATGCCGCTTGGGAAACCTTGAACTCTTGGCACCTTCCCAGTTCCCCTACCTCCCTGACAGTTCTGTCCCTGTCCCTCAGCCGCTGCAATCCTCCTTTCCAGTAGCTCAATGGCTCTTTCCTCTTCTTTCTGTGTCTCGGCACCCCACTCGCCATTGGACTTTCATTTTCTACAAGGATAATTTCAAGTTTATATCTTGATACCCAAACCTGTCTTCTGAGCTCAAGTCCCCCAGTTTCCCCGTTTCAATCTCTCTATGAGAGGCTACCTCTGACAATTAGCCCATCCAAAAGAGAAGTCATTTTACGCTCCACAAAATCTGCTCCAAGTCCTGACGTGAACGCATTTCTCTTCACGGTATCACTGCCATCTGAGTCACTTCTCTGCACTCAAAACCTAGGTCACTTCCGACCCAGACTATTTTTATTTCCCCTTCTTGTCAGCTGCCAAGGTCAACTCTGCAGTGTGTCTTGAATGCGTTTGGTGCTGTCATCATAGCATCCACCATTACCTTCCAGGCTGTTATTTCAACAGCCTCACAGCAGGTCTCTAGGCTTCCAGTCTGGCTCAATTCTCTGTCTGGCTTGGCCTCTCTCCCTCCCTGTCCCATTCCCTCTCATCCAGTATACTGTCAGATACATGTTCATAAAGCCATGAAGGATCCCTTTGGTCATGTCACCCTACTGCTCAGAGCCTTTGGTACCACACTCCCCTGCTTGCCTAATAGACACCAGTTGTCTTCAACAGGTGGGAATCTTCTGGCCCAATCTGTATCCCAACCTAATTCCCCACTTCTCCCCAATCCAATACCACCTGATGTGCCTTGAAAAATTTAGTGGATACAGAAATGAGATAAAAAAATTAAAACATTAACAGGCAAAACAATTTCCAAGAACTAAGTGCTACTGCATGGGTCTGCTTCCCACCCTGCCACGCTCGCTCATGCTGTGTTCCACAGCAGGAAGGCCAGCTCCTGCCTCAGATTCAACCCCTCACCCTGGCAAAGCTCTCTGAGTTGCAGCTTCACCATGAATCCCTCCCTGATACCCAGAACTGAGCATGCGCTTCTCTTCTCTGAGCCCCCAGAGAAGAGCCCCCTCTTTATCTCTATCATGGTAGATAATCCCTTTCCACAATGTATTAAAACTACCTTGGAATTTATCTTATGGTAAAACTCCCTGAGGGTGGGGACTGTGCCTCATTCATCCCAGTTGTTCCTGAATTTCCCAGTCCCACCATACACATAACAGACACTTAATGAATCAGATGGATGAAGGGATCAAGGCAGATGCTCTACCCAAAGCTTCACACTCTGCAAGTAACTTAGTTCATCTGACACCAAAGCCCTCCACCCACCTCCTCCTATTTTTTTTTCATATCGACTACCTGACCCTATAAATAGGCAACTCTCCTAAAGGGGAGATGATGTGACAATGTAGGAAAAGGGCCAGGTGGGTGTCAGTTTACTTGTGCTCAGCAGCAGCAACACTTTCATTACGGTGTATTCCTCAAAGGTGAGCTGCAGCCGGACAAACTGAAGGCTGATCTGGTGCATCCCCTGGCAAAGCTCATACATGGCAGACTGGTGCATCTTCTCTCTGCAAAGGAAAAGCAAAGATGTCTGAGAAGGCAACGTCCATGATCAGACCCAGACTGGCGGCCCAAGGCAGCCTGATGAGAGATCTGAGTCAGATCTCTCATTTGCTTTTGGCTTCAATATGGAGCAGAGGTGTACTTGCAACGCAAGTCAGCTGCCTTGCATGGTGACTGGTAAATTGCTTATAGACCAACCCTGTCAGGCTGTTGACTCGTCCATTGGGAGAATGTGTCAGAAGCACCGAAACCAACCTTTCTCAAAGCGTGCCATGATTTCATTTTACATCAAGAGTGACAACAAGGGCCTCCCTGGTGGCACAGTGGTTGAGAGTCCGCCTGTCGATGCAGGGGATACGGGTTCGTGCCCCGGTCCGGGAGGATCCCACATGCCGCGGAGCCATGGCCGCTGAGCTTGCACGTCCGGCAAGGGGAGAGGCCACGACAGTGAGAGGCCCACGTATTGCAAAAAAAAAAAAAAAAAAAAAAAAAGAGTGACAACAAGTGATGGTGGCGTGTGTGATCGTGAGATTGTCCACCAAGCAGAGAAGCTGCTGTGACGTGGGGGGAAACCTAGAGACGCCTATTCCTCTTTGGCCAGTGATCCCAAGCACTTACTATTTGGAAGGGCTGTGTTAGATGCTAAGGATGCAGGACAGTGATGAATAGTCTTATTTCCACATGGACCCCTTTATAGAGGCCATGAAACGTGTCTGTTAACTCTTTGCAGCAGCACATTTAAAAAGGGAAATCAGACAACATTTTAAAAGATTCCTCAAGTGGAATTTCTCCAGTACAGGGTGAAAGTGATATGGGAGTTTGTGTGATACATACACGTGTCCATTTAAACAACCAACCAAGCTACTTTCTCCGCCAAATCCAAGTGTTTCCATAAAAATCCTCATGATTTTACGACAGAACTCATTATTTTCTCTTTCCGTGAGAAGGAAGTAAGGCATCATTTAGTTGTTCAGATGTTTTTCCTCAAAGTAATAAATCTTTTGGGAGGCCCTGGATAAGTACTCTGTTATGATGACCAGAATGAAATTAGTAATAAAGAGTTTACTAGTGAGAAATGAGAAAGGACTTGACAAAGGCTATAGACACAGAAAAGGAGGTCACGATGGCTGATCTATTTCTATGAGTGACTGAACCAGGTGGGTGTCTGTAGCAAAGCAACCCTGCGATACCTCTTCCGGATGCACTCTTGAGTTCAAATGGCAAAAATCTCTTTTATCCCAAGTCTGAAAGACATTTGTAAAAAACCCAGAATGGAACACATAGCATTTTGCTTGGTATTATTGCTATATGTCTCTCCCTTCCCATAATAGGCTAAGAGATATTTTTATCATTTTTTATATTTATTTTTTTATTGAAGTATAGTTGATACACAATGTTGTGTTAATTTCTGCTGAACAGCAAAGTGACTCAGTTATACATGTATATGTATTCTTTTTCATATTCTTTTCCATTATGGTTTATCACAGGATATTGAATATAGTTCCCTGTGCTATACAGTAGGACCTTGTTGTTTATCCATCCTATACATAATAGTTTGCATCTACTAACCCCAAACTCCCAGTCTATCCATCTCCACCCCTCTGCCCCTTGGCAACCACAAGTCTGTTCTCTACATCTGTGAGTCTGTTTCTGTTTTGTAGATGTGTTCATTTGTGTTGTATTTTAGATTCCACATATAAGTGATATCACATGGTATGTGTCTTTCCGGGAGGTATTTTTAATAAAGGAAGTATTTTTAAAACACACACACATACACCCACAAACACACACACACAGAAAAATAGCAGGAGCCTATGGATCTACCATGCAGAATTAAGAATAAATGCTAATATTTTTGCCATATTAGCTTCAGATCTTTATAAAATAAACACGGCCGAGTTAAGGCCCGCTCTGTCTCCCTCCCTGTCCCCATTCATCTTCCTCATTGAAGAGGTGAACCACTCTGGGAGATTATTCTTTCCTCTCAGATGTGTATACTTTACACACCCGTATGTATTCATAAAAACAGCACACAGTACTGCTTGGTTTTATGTAAATTTGAAAATAGATACGCATATCCTTCTGCAACTTATTTTTATTCAACGTTGTGATTCTACGACGTATCCATTTTCATACAGGTAACTCTAAGCAAGGACGTTTTCCCTGCTGCGAGTTTCATCGGTTTGAACACATCACAGTTTACTAATCCATTCCACTCCGGATGGACACTTGGGTTTGTTTCCGCTTTACGAGTATTACAGATGATGCCCAAGGGACATCCTTGGGCACTTCTCTAAAATACAGGACAGAAATAGAACTGCTGAGTCATAGATGTGTGCACATCTGCTGCTTTCATTCCAACCAGTAAGAGACGATATGTCCTTTTATTCCACATGCCATGAATACTTGTCATTAACCAATTTGAATTTTTTTTTTCCACCATCTGATGGGGGTTGAAAGGGTTATCCCACCGTTGCTTTTATTTGCATTGCCATTATCACCAGCAGGCTGAGACATTTCTTCAAATGTTTTCTGACCACTTGGGTTTCTTCTTTGATGATTTGTCTCTTCATATCTTTATCCATTTTATTTAAAGCTTTTTTTCCCTCCTATCACTAATACCATCTTTATTCATATTTTTTTGCCTTAAAAATTTTGTCTGATGATCTTTCCTTAGTCCCTCCCTCCCTCCCTTTCTTCCTTCTTGTCTCTTTAGAATTTGCCCGGAATGCCCTTTTAAAAAATCCCTTGTTTACAAAGTTCCCACATAATTATATATCACACATGTATCTTTTAAACAGCAAAAAGCTGGATTAAAAGAATCTGAGAGCCTTTGTATTATAATAGCTCAGTTTAATCTGTTTCCATTTATCATGATTACTAATATACTTGGATAGTTTTTCCACCATTCTAACTTTCTCCCCTCCTTTCGTTCTACTTTCCTTCCTTTTATTACAGGGATCCAGCTTACAAAATAAAAAAAAAAAACAAAAAAAAAAACCTCTTTGCTCATCTATTGGGATTTAGAAGATACACATTCTATTTTTACTCTTAAAATAATTATCAAGTTATGAACTTGCATACTTAAAAATCTAAAGTTAATCAATAGCTTTTCCATGAGAAACTGAAAAGATGTAGAGTATTTTATCTTTGGTCCACTGCTTCCCATCCTCCATCTTATTCCTCTTTAGTATTTAAATTTCAACTTGTTTTCAGATCACCCCTGAAGTCAGTCTGTCTCTCTCTCACATCCGCACCCCATGTCTGTTTAGAGTTACAAACATATTTCTCTCATCACCACTGCTTTTTGCACTCCACTCCATACTGCTGGGTTCAACTGGGTTCTTGGTTTGTTTTAACCCAAATGATCATCGGTCTGCAAGAAGCATTTTATTCTCCCCATGATACCAGCAAGAAACAACAAAAGCTAACATTTGTACAGTGCTTTTTAATTTGAGAACTTCCATACAGCTGGTCCCTACATCTCTGCAAAGTAGGAATTTGTGTTAATTCCCAGTTTTACATATGATAAACCTGGATTTAAGCTATCGGGGTATACACTCATATATATATTTGTAATTCTTTCAGCAGTGGTCAGTTGCTGAATGTTCAAATCTTTCAGTCTTGATATGTCTGAAAATGTCTTTATTTCACCTTTATTCTTGAATGATAAGTTTTAACACGTTATAGATTTCTAGTGTGACAGGTAATTTCCCTCAGTACTCTGAAGATAATATTCCATTACACCTAGGGCTTCACTACTGCTTTTGGGAAATTTCTTGTTAGTCTAATTGTCATTCTTTAACAGGTAGGGAATTTGCATCTTCTCTTTGGTAGCTTAAAAAAATTTTCCTCTGTTTATTTTTGATGTCTACAGTTTCAGTATGAAGGATGGAGGTGCAGACTGATTTTTATTTCTCTTGCTCAGGACTCAATGTCCTTATTTAACTTGAAGATGCAGGTATTTCTTATGTTCTGAAATGGTCTTAGATATTGTTTCTTCAAACATCATCCCCACCCCATTCCTGCTATTTT